TGTCCGATCGTCCGCATGTTCGATTTGGTTATCGCAGTTTCGAAGTAGGATCCAAATTCAACAAACACCAATAGTCCTTCTTGATGATTGTCCTAAGCACAGATTTCAAGGTCAAATGTCAAACCAATCGCCATGTTACTGGTTTTTTTGCATTTCGCGCTAAACCACGCACATCTTTGCCTGGTTTTCTAATCTAGCGCCTAGAAATGTTGAACAGTTGATGCTTCTGTGTGTGCGTACTACGCTTATCTCTGTTTCATCTTAGTTTTTTATTGCCAAAATGCCACACTTTTGCGTGTATACGGGGTGTGGGGATCGTAACCAGGCGTTCTGGGAAAATCCGCATTGCACATTCAAAAACGCTCCACAATGTTTGCTAATTTGGCGCGTAAATCCAGTGGTATTTGTCACGCGAATCTACTTAAATTCGATTTCAGTAGTTTTGCGTGTCGTCACGGGGTGTTTTGATGCTTCAAACAATCCTGTAGAATAACGTGAATTACCGCTGTTGGAAGCGAAATGTGAGTATAACGAGTTACTGACAATGTGAAATATGTGAAATGTGCAAGATTTTTCTTCTACTTTACAATCTACGGTGTTTTTTGTGTGTCGGCAGTGTGTGGCTTTGATGTCCGTGGTGTGCGTGATCCTATCCATCGTGGCGTACTGCTTGAAGACAGTTTCGAGCTTCAGGCTTCCAGTCATTCGGCTGACCCACGGTAGACACTTCAACATCACATTCAACGTCTCCTCGGCAGCTAGATCCGCCTTTCCAGACCCCTTCAGCATAGCCTCGTCGGAGCCTCCGGAGTCGCTGAACGTGGTGTTCCTCTACATGGAGTTTGTGTGCAACGTCTGGTTCCTGCTGGAATTCTTCATTCGCCTCGTAGTCACCGACGACCTCCTCAAGTTCCTACGCTCGCCCCTCAACATCATCGACATCGCCGCCGTCATCAGCTTCTACACCGAACTCTTCGTGGATCTCACCGTGGAGCACACTCCAGGCGTCGCCAAATCAGCCCTCGAGTTGTTTAGCATCGTCCGTGTCATGCGACTCTTCAAGCTGACTCGCTACATCTCCGGCTTGAAGATCCTCATCCTCACATTCAAAGCCAGCGCCAAAGAACTCTCGCTACTCGTCTTCTTCCTCATGGTCTTTATTGTGCTCTTTGCAGCACTCGTCTTCTACGCGGAGAGATTTTCACCGTCTCCCAGGAACGACTTCACCTCGATTCCGATTGGACTGTGGTGGGCGATTGTTACCATGACGACCGTCGGCTACGGTGACATGGCACCGAAATCCTACGCAGGTTGGTTAAACTCTGGCCTCGCACCCATTGGACTTTTTCACTCACAGCCTAATTTAACGACGATTCCAAATCGGCAGTTTTGCCGACAAAAAAAACCAATTTGCGGAGCAACGAGAAGGTTTCAATGCCGACAACATTTTTTTACACCAGTTGCGTTTAATTTCTGTGATAAATTGATGCACATTTTAGCAAAGTACCATCACTGAGTGTGATGTATTGCGTTTGTTTAAAACGTACATTAAATAAATGGACCTTGTCCTTTCTGATCTGCAGCTCTTCAGTTTTCTGCACCACAAAATCCGCCCAATTTAGCTGAAAATGGCATTTAGAGACACTGAAACTGAGGATTTAGTTCTAAAAGTACAATTTTAACCCCCGAGATGAAGGTCGTGAAATGTTCTTTGGAAATAATCAACTCAAGAGCTTGCACAACTTTCGTGAAATCTGGTTGTTCCACAGGATTTCCCACATTTGAATTGCTTGGTTCAAAAAAACCGCGCCAAAAAATTTGGTGTTTAAACACCACAAGCGCATGTGTTTGCGGAAGGTTAATTCTGTAAGATTGTGCAAAATAAAAATATTTTTATGGTCCGACCTTCAATCGACCAATAGAAGCGAGGGTCGCAATCACAGTGCACAACAAGCCACTACTGTTAGGAGGACACATAACATCTCTATATATGATGAATAAAATAAAAAAAATGATGACAATTTGTCCTCTCGAGCACCCTGCCTGGGGTCTTGATTGCCTACATTCTGATTGGCTGGTGCTGGAGTGGGCGCCCTATTTGATAAGTAATCAGAAGCCAATGGATGCTTTGTCTTTGCATAGAACAACCAACAGTTTAGGCAGATGTTCAGGATCTTTGCATTACAAAATTTACGCACAAGTATAATTTTATTTGCTGAAAGTTGTTTAAACACAGGCCATACAGGGCACTTCTTATTACCCTATTATTACTGAAATATACTACTGACAGCAACCTCGCGTGAGTGATGCGTGCATGAGGGCCCGAGTGGACCAATGACTCACCCCTTTTGTTATTGGCCGCTGTCAGCATTCGCCTGTCACGCACGCGTACTCATGCGCACACAATGCCACTTGGCTGGTTTGACGCTGATAAATGGTCGTGTTCTCTGTCGCCGCTTTTTCCCCTTTCCTCGGGT